TTCAACCCAACCGAGTCGCGCTGGGACACGAGAGAACGGGAGTTGTTTGCGGTCAAGTGGGCCGTGGAGAAATGGCGAGACTACGTCGGCCTCGCTCACTTCACTGTCAGGACGGACCACAACAATCTGCGCTACCTCACAAGCGTCGACAAGGGCAAGGTCTTCCGATGGGCACTCGCGCTGAGCAACTACGACTTCACTATCGAGTTCATATCCGGCGAAACAAACAACATAGCGGACTGGCTCAGCAGGTACGCAGGCGACGACAAAGAAGAGGACGAACTCTTGGACAGAATGTCCCTACAAGTCGCAGCAGTGCGAGCACCCACGCTCAATCTGCCGCAACCTCCGACAAAAAAGGACTTCGTACAAGCCTATGCCGAGGAGGGGCCAGACCTGCCCGGACTCCACTACGATGGCCTGTGGTGGATCCACCTACGGACGCAGAAGATCTACGTTCCCCGCCAGCTGCGGACACGCATAGTTATCGCGTTCCACTACGGACCCAGCGGCCACCTAGGAGTCGGCAAAACGAGGAAGAGGGTCCAAGCGCTATACTACTGGCCCGGCTGTGCACAGGACATAGAGAGGATGATCCGCGAGTGTCTGATCTGCAAAAGGCTGAAGACACCTCCAGTTCACCAACAAGGCCTGCCGACAGGTACCTTAGGAAAGGCAGCAGCCATGGACGTCGTCTCACTCGACCACGTAGGACCAGTATACATGGGAGGAATCGGGTGGAACATCCTAGTCATCATCGACCATGCCACGAGATACATGATGGCGAAAACCGTCCCCACGCTGGCAGCGGTCCAGACGTTCCGCACCTTCTACAGGCATTGGGTAGTTCCCTTCGGACCCCCACGCATCGTACTGACGGACAACGGCCCAAGCTTCAAGGGCGCATTCCACGCCAACACGACCTACCAGCTCGGATGCAAACACCTGACCGCAGCGCCGTACCGACCTCAAGGCAACGGGATCAACGAAGCATCCCACCAAGAGCTCCAGAACGTGCTCAAAGCGCTCTGGCAAGAAGGAATCCGAGACATGGACCTCATGGTAGACGCGGCGACACGCCTGCACAACGTAACGCCACACGCTGCCATCAACACCTCGCCCTACGAGGCAGTCTTCGGCAAAGCACCGATCCTGGACAAAATGCAGGACATGACCCCGCTAACGACCGAGCAGGAAAGGCGGCAAGTACAACAACAGATGCTGCGAGAGCGGATGGCAGAATCCCTCCTCAGGCAGCGGCCATTAGAAGCCGAGACGCCTAACGATCTCCAACCAGGAGACATCGTCGTAGTACTCGTCGACCCAGGTTCAGCAGCATCATCTATAAACGGACCGGAGACACCAAAGTGGTTCGCACCGAAGTGGTCACTCCCGATGAAGGTGATCAGCACGACACGGACGCAAGTAGAAGTCGAGAGGTACGGACAGCCAGGCTCGACGTTCCAAGTACACAAAGATAAAGTCCGCAGGTTCGAAAGAAGCAAGGACCCGGAGCTGGAAGCCATCACGCAACAGTACTCCGAGAACCTCGACGAAGAGACGGTAACACAGCAACTTGGAATAAGCGGTGGCAAACGACCACGCATCACAATCAATCCAGAGACGCGAGAAGGATTAGAGAACTTCCTAGGCATCCACCCCAATTCCTTCTGAGCTAGGA